CGTGTCTGCCACAGCCTTTTTCCCGTCCTTGCTGGCTGCTGGGGGCTCTGCTTCCCCCCGCCTCTCCTCCTCCTCCTCCTCCTCCGCCCGCTCTGCCTCCGGCCGCTTCTTGGCAAAGGGGTCCTCCTCATGGTCCCACAGTCCGTAGCACTGGGAAAGGCCAGGGGTTAGTGAGAGCCCGGCTGGGACCCACCATGGACATGTTTCCTACCACCCCCCAGCTCCACCTGCTTCACCCCACCCAACGCTGCCATCAGCTCCCGGCACAGGGGAGTCGGGTGCTGCCCCAGCCATCCTGCTCCCAGTGCGCCCAGGCGCCCCGAGCATCATGGGGCCATAAAGCTTCCTGGCTGCCAAAGTCACCAGAAACTGGTGTCTTGGTCGGAAATGAAGACGGAGATGCCCAAGAGATGGACACCCTCTGATGGTGACGGTCCAGCTGGGCAGTACCCACTGCCAGACAGGAGGCTGGACGGGGTGCTGTGCCGCAAGCACCCTGCCCACGGTGATGCCGGCACCCCGGGGCTCACCAGCAGGAGCGAGCGGTGGAAGAACAGCGCCAGGAGCTGGACGAGGTCATACTTGATATAGCGGTCGGTCTTCTCCAGGCCCAGGATGCGAGGCGGAAAGAAGGGCTTGCCCTCATTGCGCACCAGCATGGCGTAACCGTTCCAGGGGAAGAACCCGAACTGGAAGAGGTATTTCACCACCACCATCACCTGCAGGGAGGTAGGAGTCAGCAGGAGGCAGCTGGAGCCCAGTGCCCGCCTCGCCGGCCGTTCTGGCAGCCCTACCACAGGCAGCGAGCACGGCCCGTGCCAACCTCGGTAAAGATGATAGCGGTCATCCAGAAGCGCTTGCTGGGCCGGGGGATGGACAGCATGGCCCACAGGAAGACGAGGATGGGCAGGAAGAGGGAGATGACGGAGGCGGTCACCATGTTGTTGAGGATGATGACGAAGTAGCAGAGCAGCTCAGAGTGGGCGGCCACACAGTGGTAGGTGGCCAGCAGCAGCTTGAGGAAGCGGTTGTGGGACCGGTAAAACTGATCCGACTCCTCCAGCACAGCAAAGTAGAGCCGCCTGCGGGGCATGCGGGGGCTGAGCCCGAGCGGGCTGCACCACCGTGCCGCGGCCACCCCGGGGCGCGTGCC